CTGGACATGTCCAAACCACTGTCCCTCCTCTGGACATGTCCAAACCATCTCAGTGTGTCCTCTCCAACTTCATCTCCCAGTTCAACCTGTGCTGTACCTCTGATGATCTCATTCCTGATCTTCTCCATCCTTGTCTCTCCTAAGGAGAACCTCAACATCTTCATTTCTACAACTTCTAGTTATGCCTTCTGTTTTTTTTATTTTATGTTTTTTTATCAATGCAGCTGTCTCCAAACCATACAAAAACTAAGAACATGTTCAATTTTTAGCAAAGAAATAATGTAATTTGGGAGTTGATGGCAACGACACATCTCAGAAAAGTTAGGACTGGGACCATCAAAGCTGCCAAATTAAGTGGTATGAATAAGAACTGGAAAAGCATTTTGCAGCTAATTAGGTTAATTGGCAGCAGGTCAGTAAGAGACCTGTGTATAAAATGAGCATTATAGAGAAGCTGAATCTCTTGTAAGACTTAATATCCCATTGTCATAATATCAAATGATCACTTCTAAGCACTTTGATAACAGTTTATCTGTTTTAAATTGTGCTCTACAAATAAAGATGACTTGACTTGACTTGACTTGATGTAATATCAGTTCTGTTTGGGTCATCACTGCATGGGCTCAGGAACACTTTCACAAATATCGTCTGTAAACACAGTTTGCCATCTACAAATGTTGGTTAAAGCTTTATCATGAACAGAAGAAGCCTTATGTGAACACCATCTAGAAACGCCTCCATCTTTTCTGGGCCAAAGCTCATTTAAACTGAGACAAAGTGAAAATGTTTTGTAATCACATGAATCAAAGCTCTGTACTAAAGAGGGACCATTTGATGTGTTATCAGTTGTCATTCATTCAGTGAGTTTTATTTACATTTTAAACAATGTCCCAACTTAGCCCACTATTCTGAAATGGCTCTTTTGACAGACGTTTAATTTCCATAAAGCTTACTATGTTTTGAATATATTAGAAGTGAGCTATTTAAATTGAGGGCAGCATTGTGCTACAATACAAACTATTTTCATGTGAGCTTTTCTGAATGCTTCATCAACTTTGTAATAAATACCTAGTGATGCTTGTAGGAATGCATATCATCTGCCATATTTAATGCCAGTGTTTTAGACTAATATGTGGTGCTGAGAAAGGACAGTTGATCCGTTTGGTTAAACCATGTACACGATGTGCTGTAAATGATTTCATGCAATATTATGAGATCTTGGGAAATGTGCTAGAACTTGAGTTTTTTTGAGAGTGACTCAACTTCTACCACACCAAATTTTAGGTCAGTATTTATAAAATTGACTGCGTTAAAGCCCATTTGTGTTATTCTGTTGTAGATTTACATCCAGTAATTACTTTCTGAAAGTTTCATTTGTTTACTGTGTCACGTTGGGCATCGGGCAGTAACTGAGGAGTTTTGGATTCTTTACTCCTCTGTGCCTCAGCCTGTCTTTGTCTGACAAGTAAAAATAAGTTGAAAGTTTTGAGTTTGTGAATCACTGCCAGCTGTGAGTGTGGTATGGATGCCAATCTTTTTGGAGTGATTTCACTGTTTGGAGTTTGCTGTTTGTTAAAAGGGGTTTGTTCAAACATCCCATGGCATGTTTTAACAGCCTTTCCAAGATTATCGTTAGGGATTTTTTGGTGAAAGTTTATGAATGCTTTAAGCCCTATTCGCACAGGATTAGTTTTACCTAGGGACCACATGTAATTAATAAATTACTCCCCAACATCTGCTTTTTATGTGGCGCATTTGCGCAGGATAACCAAAGCCTGAGATTTAGCTGAAATGGACGGACATCTTCCACATAAGATGTTAACGCGCTGCATATTGCGTAACATCCTCTTGTGGTGACCGTTACGGGTTGATAGGCTTTTGCTGGTCCAGGCCACAAAAGGGTATTTATGCACTCCAATGCAGCCTCCATTGCCAAAAGCAAATAAAAATGCGCCCAGGAAACAAAAAAACGCCTAATTATGTATCGGATCCTGCCCATTTCTGTCCAAATCACAGAGATGTCTATTCGCATTGGATTAGTATTATCACAGGACCTCGGAGTTCTGCAAAATATAGTAGGTAATTTGAGGGGAATTTTTTACTTTACAAATTACTGACACGGCCAATTCGCACGGGATTAACAACACAGATAATCGCCGTAATTATTACAAATAGCATGTGGTCCCTAGGAAAAACTAATCCCGTGCAAATAGGGCTTTTCACTACTACGGTTGAGAATGTTAACTCTGCCCATGAACCATATGTTTGGGTTAGTAGAAAGCTGTAGGAGCTGGGTGAGGCTGCAGCTGGCACTCCAAGGACGCTCGGAGTCTGAGCTCGGCTGAACCGATAAGAGTTCAAACAAGCTGCACACACGGCTCGGGGCAGATTCTCATGACTGGTCTTCATGTGTACTTCCTGTTTATCTGTGTAACCCGTCCTGAAAATTTGACCTCGCAAGTTAAATAACAGTTAAAAATCTTCTCCTGCTGTCGAGTGTGGCTCCTTTTGAGTAAGATAAAGCGAGAATATTTTTGTCCAACAATTATCTAATGGAGTAATGAAATGTTTGTTAGCAACAGAAAACAAAGTTACATTTTTAAGTACCATTTTTATATAGTACGGAAAGCACACAAACTAAAATGTTAATGTCTTTCTAAATGTCATTTATGTAGTATTTTTAATTAAAAGCTAATATGCAGATGCAGTCTCTTTTGAGACAATAAAAATCTAAAACCAGTGGTTAATTTGAGCCGGATTCTGCCGGAACAAGATCCGGGAACTCCCTCATTTTCATCGTGTGCATTCCGGAAACTGTTCTCTCGGATCCGTCAGCTCATATCTCCTCCCATAAAAGTCCAAAGTCATTGCGCATTTTTATTTTGATTATTTATTAAAACTATAACGACAGGAGACATTGTCCATGTGTGTGGAGTGGATGTTACAGCTGCAGCAGGCGCAGCAGCTCGCGCACACGCTGCTGCCAGCAGAGACGCTGACCACATGTCCCACAGGGATGAAGCGTCTTCATCCACCTTCAGCTGTGTCTCAGAATCCAAAGCAGCGAACAAACATTTTAACGGCACAAACCAGCACAAACATAGCTGCTATAATTCACTGCTCTCTAAAATAGTAATTTCAATTCAAGCTTTACTTGTACAGGTTGTTAGTGTCATTGAGCCTCGAGGACTCACTTACAAGAGAGACCTGTTTTTAATACGTTTAATCAAGTGTTTACAGATATTACCTGTTAAAATACACCAAAATGCAGGGAATGGCACCTCTCATGGGGGAGGACCCCTGGAGCCCCACCCGGCCAGACCGCCTGCTATTTCTGTTTTGGCATCAATTGGTTTACAAATTAAGCCCTGTCTAAAACTATACTGATACAAAGACTATACATCTAAAACAAATCAGTTTAATTTTAAAGTAGAGTATACCC